AGAGAGAGAGAGATTTATAAGAGTTTTTCTAACTTTTCTATTTTAATTTTTTTATTTTAGAATTGTATAAAAAATGTGGGACTATCGGTTACTAGAGGACTAGGTTTTTTTTAGTGCAGGAGTTCTTTATGAAAGAAAAAAGTATTTCTTCTCCCCTTTGGCCTGGGTTACAACCACTTATTATTCTCCTCTTGTCGGTGATTTGCTTGTTTTAAGATCGAAAGAAGACCGGATTTAATTTCTTAGGCTCCTTTCACATCAAATTAGAAAAGCTGTATAATAACATGAAGGAAAGAAGAAAAAGAAGAAGAATTAGGGTTTAAAATCCTGGTAAAGCAGTGGGAATGGAATACTAAGGGCAGCACTGCTAATTCTCAAGGTTCGTATCCCATCTCAGCCAGGTATATAAGCTACCCAAAAGCAATTATATGATAATATCCTATGTTGTTCTGTTTTGAGTTATTTTGGAATATAATGAAATATTTTGAGCAGTTTTTGTAGGAGGACTTAAATAGGCTATCAACCAATTGAAAAATATAAAAAATGGGTTTTGGCTGAGTGGTTAGTGTCCTCTTTACCTTACCAAAAGAAAAAGAAAGAGAGGAAATGGACACCTGATAATGTATCATGCCTTTTTGCAGGATGCTCAGTATTCTACTGGAACAGGAGTTATATTCTCTGTCTACTGCACTGTTATTGCAATGGGATTGAATTCCATACTCTATATTGGTGGCATTGTGCAGCTCCCTGTGAGCAAACAAATGTTACTTAGGCTTGCTGGCAGGTGAAGTTGATAACTGTTACTTTTACCCGTCGAATAATCTGTTTCATTTTTTCTTTTTCTTTTTCTTTTTTTGAAGTATTTGTTGTGATATAAATCTGAAGAGCTCAGACCTGGGTGGGCAATCACATCTTTCTATTTTTACCTTTTTTTTGTGTCCCCTTATACTTCTTCTCTCTTCACTTGATAATAACATCCTTGTATGATTGGGATTGTGCATTTGTAACCCTTGAAAGAGCTTTGTGGAAGTTGTCTACATTCATGTGTTGTATTTGAATGTGGAAGATAATAGCTGAAGGTAATGGATGCACTTCTTCCATCTCTTCTAAAAGCTTTTATCATTCTGAATAGGAGAGCCACTAAAGTTCAAGTATGGGTCATTGATGGATGATCATATGCATTAGAGACAGAATTTCCTAAACAAATTTTTAGAGTTCATGGTTATATTATTGCTACCTGGTTTTCTTAGTCCTCCCATGTTTTCCTTCAACAGTTAGGAAGTGTCCCTTTTTAATGCTGTCTTAGTTTCTACATTTATGATGTTCTGCATTTATTGCTTCTTTTCTTTTCTTTCTCCCTCAACTTCCCTTCCATTTCAAAGAGTTTATGCCAACTTTAGAATCAATTCCTCACAATTTTATAATTGAGAAAGTATGCAATAAGGTCATTTGCATGTGGTACAAGGTGTGAAATCACTTTTAGCCATTAAATGTGAAATTGGGGAACTGGGGGTGTGTCTTTGACTGGGCTCAAAGTCCTAAATAAAGTTTTTTGAACTTTATGACACCTCACACGTAGTCAGATTGCACATATGATGGTTAGGGTTAATTACAGCCTTCTTATACCAAATGCAAATGGTCTTATAGCATACAATTTACAAATTACCGGACGTTTTTTTTTTAATATTTACCCCCATAAATATGACTACTTTCTGTGTTGATATTGTATGGTGAGTGCTCATGCATTTTTTATTTCACTATATCCAAGATTTAACATGATTGAATTTTCAAAACATTAGGGCATCAACTTGTTTGTCTGTTGATAAATCTAAGCTATGGATGAAATTAGTGATCTATGCACTTATACATGCATTCCTAAAACAGTGTGACCCAGTTGAAAGAGATATTTAAAGGCAGATGTGTTCATGTTAGTGTTTGCAAATTTTTTTCTTTTCTTTTTTGATAATTCAGTGGATTTTTTGGATAATTCAGTGGAGAAGATAAGCCCCTACCCGTTTTTTCAAGGAGTTAATTTTTTAAAGGTATTAGTGGAGTGGTGGGAATGGAAACTACAATGTGGTGACTAGAATGTGAGGGTGTTACCATTATGACCCAAGCTCTTTTCCCAAAATTATATTGCGTATGGGGGAACTCGAAAGAGCGTTATGAATTTTTGAATCAGCCTTAATTCGAGTACATGGATCCTCATAGGAGCATCTCTCTTTTTCTCTCTCTCCATATATATATATATATATATGGAAAGCTTTATGCATTGCCCATAGCAAAAAATGGACAGTGCATTTGCGTATGGGCTTGCCACCATTCGAATTTTTTGGACAGCAGGAAAAAATCAACCATCATAGATATACACTGACATAGTATGTCAGTGGCAGTTGATTTTTCACGTTAAACTGCAATGGATCTACTAGAGCTGTCGGGTGGAAATACTGTTCACTTATAAGTTTTCTTATATATATCTACGTTTTTTGAGGAGACAGAGATTGTTACCTTTTAACTAAGGGTTCTCATTGCCGTATGCCAACCAGCCGATGGAACATATACTTAGGCCCCATGTTAGAAAAACTGGGCGATCCAACCGGTTAGATTGGAAATGGCCAGGCCGGTTTTGGTGATAGGTTGGTATTTTAACAAAAGAAAATCAGAAAAATCTTTATAAAATCTCAAAAATAAAGAATTTAGTTTGTAATACATTTCTTAATATTCTAGATATTATAGTAAATATTAGAAATTATTTTGGCCATTAATACTCACTTTTATATTTTCTCATCTTTTTTGAAATTTTTTTAAAATATCTCTAGGCACAAATTGGTTCTTTAAAATCCATTTTTTAATTAATTTTCAATTTCATTTGAATGTGGTTTGTTTTAATCAGTCTTTATATGTTTTTTATATTTTACTAGTTTTTTTTTTTGTATTTTTTTATTTTTTAAAACAATTTTTTGATTGCCTAAAACTTGTTTGGTTAGAATGGTTGAATAAGCCGGTTTACTGGTTAGGTTGGTTAAATCGCTTTTGGCCCTATGTCCGGTTAACTGTTCCGGTTCAATTTTACAAATACGGTTTAGGCTTAGGAGTGTTTTGGTAGATTTTTTAAGTTAATTTATTATTATTATTATTAGTTGCGCTTTTCTTGGATACAGGGGTGCTCCCAATTTCATGTAAAAAGAAAATTTTAAGCATAAAAAGAAGGAAATATGGATTGTCCAACGGCCTGGATCCTAATCTGGCCCGGTGGCTGTAGCTGATGACCGAGTGGGTGTACCACTGTACCTCATCTCTCTCTAATTAAGGATTAGGTTTTTTTTAAAAAAAAAATTTATTCCTCGTCTAGCGTTTTAAGAGTATCTTAATAAATGTGGGGTTAAATATTCCCGTTTGGATGGTTAAATTAACGGCGGGGTATAGGGGTACATCCAGAAAATGGACTCTATGCATGTCTTCCACTTGTGCGTTCATATCCATTTATTTTGGCCTCATGCCAGTGTTATTAAGATCGAACCTCACTAAAGTGGTGAAGCGTTTATCGAGTAAAAGTCGATTGGTATGGGCCTAAATTTTTTTAGGTAAAATATAAAATGCTATGCTTATATGCAAAAATTATAAAGAATGTTTGTCAACCCCCTTCTTCTTCTTTTTTCCAAAATTACCCTTTGATCAAACCAAATGTAATTTTTTTATTTTTTTATTTTTTAAGTTTTTTT